AAGAGTCAGCTGCAGTAGGATACAGAAGCCCACAGCAAGTGGTAGGAGGAGGAGGGTGAAATAAGTTGCAGTGCTGATGGTAGTTCTCAACAGGGACTAGACTGGAGGTCAGGATTGGTGACAAAAGACTATTCCTAGTAGCAGAGAGGGGGCTGAGCTCTGCTCTAGGTGGCATACAAGTTTGTTTCGCTGGTGATGCCAGGTAGGTTTTGGCTTCTGTGAAATTAGCAGCAGCAGCTCAGTTCAAGCAAACCCAGTGTCTGTGGAAGCACCAAGTCACTGTCACAGAGTGAGCACGAGCGTATCACTGTCAAAGAGCAAGCAAGCAGGAGTGACATCAATGCCAGGGTGGGCGAGGCCCAGGGAGCGCCGAATCCCAGGACAGCAGCAGCAGTGGGCTGACACTCATCCCCTTGCTTCCCACCTCCACATGAAGGTGGCAGCAGTTGAACAAAGCTGGTCCACTGCATGAAGACAGAGGGGACTCAGACTCCCTGCCCTGAGGGACTGATCATCTCCTGCAGCACCAGGTGCAGCAAGTGGTTCTGCTCGGGGCTGAGCAGTGGCCAGAGCTCAGCCTGCAACACCTTGAGTGCCTCGAGGTCCTTCTCCTGGCAGGCCATGACAGCTGACTGGAGCAGAAGGAAGAGGCCAGGGGGCAGGTAGGCAGCTTGGGGCAGCTGCCCAGCACCTACCCCAGCCCCACTCTCAAAGGCCTCCCAGCAGTACTTCTCCAGGGTGCGAGCGTGCTCCGGCAGCAGCTTGGGCGGCGGCGGCTGCAGCAGCAGCAGCAGCAGCACGCGGGACACCTCGCAGTGCACCAGCACTTCTAGGAAGGCACCGCTGGGCGGGCTGGGCCCGGCCTGGGCCAGCAGCTGCGCCTGGGTGAGCACGGCCAGGGCGCCGTCATGGTCGTGGCCCAGCAGCAAGCAGGAGGCCAGCTCGCCCAGGCAGCGCAGCGCCTCCAGGGGCAGCTGGGCGGCCGCCAGCAGCTCAACAGCGCGCTGGAAGTGTGGGGCGGCCTGGCCCGGCTGCCCCAT